CATGATACATGAATAAAAAGGCAAAAGCCCTATGAAATACAAGTCTAACTCATTAGAAACCTAAGTAGAAATTAATTAACCTAATTAATTAATTTCTCTAGAAATCAATGTTGTCCAAAAATTCTCAAAATAACATATGTGAATGTTCATTTCATGGTGATTTCAAATATCACATCAATTTTACAAAATGAGCAAGATATAAACACGTATAATTTAATTAATTTAAAATTAATTAAATCTCTAGATTTCAATGGTTGTTCAAATTATTTCAAATCAATATATATCAAGCACTAAGTCATGGTCATACCATATATCAAGTCTAAAAAGGAATACAAACAAAACACAATTTACTAGAATTTAAATCAATTTAAATCCATTTAATCTCTAGATTTGAAAACTCATTCAAATGGCTCCAAATAATTATATAACAAAGATCAAGTCAAGGCCATACCATATATCAAGTCTAAAGTGAGTTGTATGCAAACTATAATTCATCATTAATTTCATAAATTAATATAAAACATGCATACAACTTGTATTTCATACAAAGGCAAGTAAAACAACTTGGAAAATAAATTATAACACCCCCTACCTCACTAGAGAAGAGTGTCTCTAGAATCCAAGACAAATCAACATCAAATGGCAAACCCTTCAAAGGTTATGTAGAGGAGGATGAGGGGAACAAAAAGTATTCCTAAATTCAAGCTTGGAAATCAATGGAAAGCTCTCAAAAATCAAAGTCAAGCTTAAGGCTCTAAGCTTCAACCATGGAGGCTAGGGTTTTTGGTAAGGAAGAAATGATCCAATGTGATGAAGTGTGAGTGGAGGAAATAGAAATCCTCCACTCACTATTTGTTCTTTCACCATGGTCAACACACACAAGTCTTGGTCAATTGCACAAAAACCCTTCTTTAAAACCATAATCCTAAAGTGGCCCAAAAGTAATTGTAAGACTTAATTGTAAGCCTACACTTGTCACAAATCCAAGGCTCCATCCTAGGCTTAATCTCAAGCCTACACTTGTCAACCATCCAAGCCGACAAGTGCACCAATCCTAGGCCAACAAGTGGTTCAATCTCCACCCTCCACATGTCATCATCCAAGGCATCAAAGTGTTTCTATACAAATGTCAACAAGTGGACCAATGAAAGTATGACACTTGTCACACTTTTTTGAAAATTGGAAAATAGTCCTTTTTGAAAATATCTTCCAAATTAAATTGCAAAATGGTCCCTAAAAAAAAAAATTATTTTCAGTAGTTGCATAAGTGACCCCAAAAGAAAGAAGAATTGCAATGAAAGTGTGCATCCTCACCCCTAAGGAAGAAAAGTGCACAAATGGCATGCATTTCTTGGAAAATGAAAATACACATGGCATGGAGTTTAAATATCATGGATGCATGCAAAACTGGAATCAAATCCGAACACGAAAAGTGAGGTTGTGCTAACAATTTTACAAACGAAAAGAGACGAAAGATGAATAGTGTCGAAAAAGTAAAAATGTGGAAATGACTCGGTCCTCAAAGGAAGTTGTCAATCCAAATGAAGAGTCTCGAAAACCAATTCCAAGCACTCGAGATGACACTAACTGACGAGAAATAGAGCTCAGAAAAGAAAATTTAACGAAAAAAATTTATCCGTAAAATTTTAGAAAAAGGTAAGGGAGTCAAATGACCAGGTCATTACAACCTACCCTCCTTAAAGAAATTTCATTCCTGAAATTTGGAACATACTAGAAAAGAATAGAACAGGGACCGAACAAAAGGTCAGACCAAAGGATAGCTCATAAAGCGCTGAAGGACAACCCTAGAGATTTCAAGATCAACTAGAGGAACGTGAAACCATGGACTGAGACAACACCTCATACGAATCGACACATTAACTGAACGTCAACCACCAAGAGAATCCCAAGACAACAAAACGTTAAAACACGACAAAAGAAGAGAGTGACAAGGCAGTACGAATAGCGACCAGAACCTGCCCACACTTACTCGTCAGCAAGGTAGCATGACAGTATATGACACGAGTTCATAACTTGCCCCTACTAGGTCAACTCAGAAAACCTATTGATATGGATGACATCAATGTCAAAAATGATCATTACCAAAAGCACCATGGGAACCAGGCATCTGCGAGAGTTGGGGTAGCTAATCCCAAAACTCTGACAACAATGTCATAGGCACTGCTAAGCTTAAGGCCTTAGATCTAGAAGCCACGAAGGAAAAAGGAAATGAAACGGTGCCGCCCTGGCCCGCATCTCACTCCACCAGACAAGGAGAAGGAAATGAATCGCAGCCCTCTATGCTCACATGAGCTTTCTCGCATCAACCGATAGACTAAGGTCTCGAAACGCCCAACCAAGAAAACAGACAAGAAGGTTCCTGACATGGGTCTTTACGGAATGAATTTCTCCTATCCATGGAAGAAACTCGTAGAACAAGAACGCACCTAAGGGATACAACAGACCCTAAGTGACAATGCCAAAACTAGACATAAAAACAAACAGCTAGCATGCAACATAGCAATGGACTATCTGCTCAAGGCACCTTATAAACAAACAGACATGTTATCAAGAAGCACATAGGTACATGGTACAACAATACACGTGAATAAAAAACGTAAGGTATGCTGACATACGTCACATACAGTCATGCTAACATAAGCACGTAGACATGATATTACACCAGGACAAGATAGTAATGCAGACATGGTATCACACCAGAACATGATAGCTACCCAGACCATGTTATCAAGAAGCATATATACACATAAAGCATGCTTAACAAGTAATAGATGTCTCAAAAAACCTAAGCATGTGAACATGTTATCACACATGACATGTTATCAAGAAGCATTTAAACATGTAGAGCATGGCAACATAAGCATGATATGCATCTAAAACCCGTCGTCCAAGGTATTCGAACTCGGACGCTCTAATACCACCTGTAACGACTCGGGTTTTTATACGACCTGGATTTTTATTCAACTTGGTGGGTCAGTGCTGATCCGAAGATTGACCCATTAATGGATCCAGATGCGAAAGCTAGAAACAAGACGATGGTCTCCCAAGGCATAACACACCTCTAAGACCTTTTGATGACCTTCTATGAGGTCACGGAACCCAAATGAATAAGGTACGGAAGCAACTTGAAAATAAGTCCATAGAGATGTAAATTATTCCTAGGACATAAGAATGGACTTTAAAAGAGTTTCAAGGCTCAATGGAAACACAACAAAGATAAGGGTATCAAAACCCTACCGAAAGAAGGACCAAGGGTAAAATGGTCATTTTACCCTAAGAGGAAGGAATTTCACTTCCAACAAGTTAAATAAAATCAAAAACATCCTTTAGTAATTTCACATGAAGTCCCAAGGCCAAAGGAAGAGAAATCTCGAATGAACCCTATCCCGGTTCGAACCAAATCTGACACCCTCTTGCTAAAATAAGGATATCATGAGCTAGGAAAAGAATCTAAAACTAAAATTGGTACCATTGGAAATCTTATTTCGACACGATCAATTTAGACTTAAGAACGGACCAATTCGGAGTTGAAACGAAGAAGTTACATTAGATTGAGTTGGAAGTCCAAAATTGAAAACTCTAGAAGACTTGAATCGGTTCAGCCTCCTTGAACCGGTTCAACATTGGCACTATGCCCAACCTAAACCAAAATGACACCTTGAACTGGTTCAACTATTCTTGAACCGGTTCAACTTGAACAGAATACCCAAAATGCAGTAGAAACAGTGTTTTAGCAGAAAAATGTGTTTGCTACACGGTTTTTGAGGTCAAGATGACATTTTTCGGAAAAATGTCGTGAAGAAACTCCCCCTAAAATAACATTTTCTATGTGAAAGAGTTGAGAATGGAATTTATTTCCCAAAGTAAATCCCCAAAATATCCTTGAACAAGATTTATGCAAAAACAGTGTGAAATGAGTCCACCGGAGGCCCATTTCACCACGGAAGAGGTTTTTCATGAAAGCGATCATACACGTAGAGGTAAATAGTGATTTTGAGCAGGCGGGAATTATCCGCGGCTCCCAAAAATGGCCGAGTCAAAGTCCGACCCTCCAACGGCCAAAAAGGCGAAAATGAACTTGAAACGGAAATTATGAAAACCAAAATTAACAAATGACTTTAAATAACCATTTGGCCCTTGGCCACACTTCATACATGATTAATGAGACCCTATGAAAGAATGAAAATGGAATTCCCACACCCGATGCACCCATGGTGACACAATTACTTGGCATTTTTTAATATTTTCATAATATTTCATGAAAACAAAGTTACATAGGATACAAGATACATGATATTGCCCTCCGGCCTTATCTCATACATGTCAAATACATTGTAAGGAGTGTACTTATGTACCCATTACATATATGGAATCAAATATACACATTTTGACAAAAACGGCTACAAATGGCATTTCAAGCCAAACTTTACAAGAATTAAAAACCTTCAAGTTTACAATCATCCTAGCAATGATGAACATCACGAACCAAGTCTTCATACCTGAAACAGCCCCCTAGTAACTTCAGGGTGAGTAAACAAGTTTACTCGTAGAGAATAAGCATGCATTGACTCGATTTCTTTAAATATTTTTAGACTAACATGAAACGATTCAAAAGGATCATGCCACCTAACGTCTATGTCAAAGGTGAGACTCAGGGATCATCCTAAGCTACACATGCAATTGAAAGGAGATACATGACATACATGCATACCTGTTACAAGTGTACTAAACGAAGATGAAAACATGTGAGATAAGTATACAAAACACAGGTACACTAAACGGAATCAGAAACACACAAGGCAAGTATACAAGACACGAATATACTAAATGGAGTTCTAGATACAAGAAGCAAGTGCACAGTTTCAAGTGTGCCAAACGAGATCTAAATACATGAAGCAGGCATAATGTCTATGCAATTAAACAAGGTAGGAAATTCTCCATATAACATGACAAGGTTCTTAAATCTTTTCCTTTGTTAGAAACAAGGTCTTGGATTATTGTGCTGAGTGTGGTATCCAAGTGATCAGTTCTACTTCATATTTTGCCCAATCAAATAGGCAGGCAGAAGCTTCCAACAAAGTAATTCTCAATATCCTTGAAAAGATGATTGAGAATAATCCAAAGGAGTGGCATCACCTACTTTTTGAGGCTCTTTGGGCTTACAGAAACTCAAAAAGATCAAGTACGGGCGTCACTCCATATATGCTTACATATGGACATGATGTCGTTCTTCCAATGGAAATAACTATCAGGTCTGCAAGAGTGGTTTTCCATAATAACCTAACTCCAGCAGATTACAACCATGCCATGTTGGTGGAGTTGGAAGACCTTGATGAGGTCCGTCTTAATGCATTGGATCATATTATTGCTCAAAAGAAGAAAGTCATGCGAGCATACAACACGAAGGTCAAGGCAAAGACATTTGTGGAAGGAGACTTGGTATGGCAGGTCAAGTTTCCACCTGGGGTTAAAAGTTTGAAATATGGAAAATGGACACCTAATTGGGAAGGCCCATATTTAGTGGAACGAGTCCTTAGAAAAGGGGCTTATAGATTGATGGACATAGATGAAAAATCCCATAAGCACCCTGTGAATGGAGTATACTTGAAAGAGTACCACCCTTCCATCTATGAAAACTGGAAATCCATAATCATTCAATCAGCCACGTAACTTGGTTGGTATCTTCCTTTCCAAGTAAACCGGAAAGCTGGAAAGGAAGGGTAATGGCCATACTTTGGCCATTTGTATAAGTTAGAATGTACATCTCAAAGAAGGAAGGCTAAGTACTTGGAAAAGTACATTGGCTAAAGTTATGAGGCGAACTTAGCTGAATTTTCAAGATCGACTGATTTCCAAAGTATGGGGCATTTCATTAAGAAGAGGCTACATTACATGGTCTAGGTTCTATTTATACTGGAAATTACTCGTGTTGCTTGTATATACTGTATTACCATTATAGCAATTTCGTTTATTTCTCTGAAATCCTTTGTTATGGAAAGTCATTTTATGGCTAAGCCTTATCGTTAATATATGTGAAAGAGTTCTCCGGTTTCAGTGACTTAGAAATTTTTCATATAAATTGAAAAAGAGGCACATGCAAAGGATTGAGAAATAAAACATCATCCCACTAGATACCTGATTTCATTACAGAATCCAAAAGTGGCCACTGAAACCTAAAGTTCGCCATGCAAGTGATTTCAAAAGTATCTACTATTTATTTCCTACTATTATCCAGAAAACCCACGAGTTTTCCATCCACATGACAAAACCATAAAAAAAGAACCACATAAGATCAAATAGAAGCAAGAATGCCCTAACCTTAGCACCCTCAAATTTGGTAAACTCATCAACCCGCCTTTCCCATTCCTTCCTTAAAGGTTCAGATGCATTGACAAGGGCATTAGCTGTTTGGTCCAATTCAAACTCTTCACATTCCACTTGTTCCAATTCCCTCTGAATCTTAGCTAGTTCCTCATTCAGTTCTACCTTCTTGGCCATAAGCTTTTCAGCTCGCTCTTTGATTTCTAGGTAAGATTCTAAAGAGAGTTGGAAATCCTCAAGGGCTTTATCTTTGAGCTTGGCCTCCTTTTCATACTCAGAAATTGTAGAAGTGCTGGAGTTTACATGGGCAACAATGAATTGGAATTGGTGTTGTAGTTTGGTCAAGGAAGCCTGGATGGACTCAGGAAATTCAGAATATTTTTTGAGGGTTATTATAGTGCTGGCCAGATTTTGATGAAAAGATACTACATCCTCTACATCATGGGCAAGGTAAGACAATAATTTTTCTTTGGCCACCTCGATAACATCATTTGAAGGTCCAGGAAGTGTAAGGACACTTGCACTTGAAGTGGAAGTACTAGAAGATTTGGTGGCCTTGATCACTTTGTAAAGATCAGCCAAAGCTGGAAAGGCTCTTCTCTGTACCATAAAGGAGATTGAGGTAGATAAGGAAGGAGTAGCCTGAAATGGAAATAAGTTTTTATTAGATAAAAAGAAAGAAAGGAGGCGAAGTTTAAAAGAATGAAGACTTGCCTATGGGATGGAAGGAGCATGGCCGGTAGAAGTTCCACTAGTTCCGGAAGGGATGGAAATTCCAATAGTAGAAGTAGGAATGGGTAGACTTTTCTCGCTTTGGTTGGTCAAGCTCTCCATAATTGAAGCCTGAAGAGCCAAATCCTCTCCTTGTGCAATTTATTAGTCCAGATGGATATTCATGAAGTTGTGTCCCATAGAAGAACCCTATTGATTAAGTTTGAAGTTATAAACATTTTAAAGTAATGAAATTGGAGAAGGACAGGGATTGAGACTTACCAAGACAAGTTATTTGGATGGTTTTGGTTTCTTGTGTTTTGGAGAGTCTCTAGGCTGTTTAAACTCTTCTGTTTTTTCTAGTTTAGGCATGATTTTCCTTTTTGCTTTTCCAACAATTTTTCCAGAGGGGCTACGCACTTTGAGGGCTTGGCTAGAATACTGAGTAACAGTTTTCCCTTTGGAGATGCCAATTTCACCATCGGAGGAATCTTCATCGGAAGAAGAGAATTGGGGTTGAAATTCTTTTTTTACAATAGCCAGTCCCTGCAAGAGGAAATGTAAGTAAGGTCCAGAATCTGGAAAAGCTAAGTATATTCACATTGAAATACCTGAGAAGTTTTTCCTTTTCCCTTTGCTTTGTATAAAGCATCTTCCTCTTCTTCCAGTATTTCCTCTTCAACTTCTTCTTCCTCTTCATTGTCACTTGAGGAAAGCCTTGCAACACTTACATCACCATTTTTGGCTACACCCTCAGTTTTGCTAGTCACTGTAGTGGTTTTTTCTCCACATTCATCTTCCTCACTTTCTTCGAGTACTTCTTCTTCTTCTCCATCTGAAATTTACCAAGTCTCAGTATATCAAAGATTGTTGAATTTCAAAAAAGAAGATAGAAAATGGAATTTACAGTAAATACATTTATACTTGGAGACAAAGGCTTGAAAGACGCCAGTATGGAATCATAGATAGCCTTATAATTCCTCGTCCGGGTGGAGGAAATATAAGTTGACCACCATACATCGAATTCATTGGTTGATTGAGGCTTGCTAGTATGGCCTTGAAAGTTAAAAGCTGCTCTTTCCGCTGCATAAGCTTGGTCAATTGCTGCAAATTGTTCAGCATCTATGAGACAAACATGTTGGTCAAAGAATCTGTTATAAGATTTGTAAGGCGGCAAAATGATTATTTGGGTGAAACCTATTTGCCTTGCCAGCTGGGCTAGGTTGTAAAACTCAACACCACAAAAGCTATTTTTCAGAGTGGGCTGGGCAGTGCTATAATGGAGATCACGGGCAAGAAGGAAGCTAGCCCAAATGTTTTTCCAATCTCCAGAGTGTTTTTTGGTAGATACTCCAGGAGATGGAACCAATGATGGCATGTGACCAATGGCAGTAAATGGATCAAAGAACCTATCATCACCAGTCTCACATTGATTATAGAAATATTCGAAATTTTCAGCAAAGCTAAAAGGAGAAGGATCTGTTGTTGCCAAAGAATGGCATAAAAGAGATTTTCTAGTTGAAGTAGCCAGGGATGAAGTTCTATTTTGAAAATATACTTTAAGCCACATTTGGAATAACCAAAAAGGGCCTTGAAACCTTGAAAACTTTGAAGCAAGCAGGTCATGTAGACCTCTGTATAAGTGAGAAAGCACAAGAGGAGCCAGTGCCAAATCTCCATTTTTGGCTAAAGAAACGACCACTTGAACAAAGTCCTTTGTGACCTGGCCGGATGGAACACACAGCAAATGGCCGGAAAGCCAACAAATCAAGAAGGCAATATGTTCATCTTCTTGAACTGGGCCAGTTTTCTTACAGTGTTTGATGAAAGGAAGATAGGAGGAAATAAATTTTTTACTCCCAGTAGTTTTGGTAAGGAAAAGGAATTATTCAATGAAGAGGGTGCCGCTTACATCATCTCCATGGGGCTTAATACTTGTAATGCAACAAATATCTCTCAAAGTGGGGGACATCATTCCACATTTAAGGTGAAGGGAATTGGTGGTCGAAGACCAAAAGAAAAGTGCTGGAAAGAGGAGGTTTGGATCAAGTGTAATGGAGGACTTACTGATTTGAATAATATCAAAGATGCCTTGTTTTTTCCATTATGAAGAAATCTTTTCGTCCTTGGAGAGACAATTCACCCAAGAGGACCAAGATGAACAGTAAGTTGGCCAGTTTCTTATGCTGAATGAGGGTTTCACCTTTTTCCCTTTCTTTGAGATAAGAGGGAACTCTGAATCGAAGGGGAGAGGGGACTTAGCAGAAGGATAGAATTCGGCCAAATCAAAGGAAGCTACGTCAGTGAAGGCTGGACCCAATCCAACTAAGGACTCTTTGAAGTGAATCAGAGGTTCAAGATGAAGTCTAGCAGGGTTTAAGGACTTTAAGAGTACTTAAACTTGGTGGCTATGGCTTTGAGTCTTGATTTTAGTTTGAATAAAAGGGGCTGGCAGAGATGAGCTAGTAGTTTGTTTGGAAGGTTTCTTAGGAGCCATGGTCTGTAATTCTTTCGTGGGTTGAGATTTCTTTTAGGGTCTTTAGAAGAAGAAATAAAGATAGTCGAAAGTTGTGGATAAATGATAAGGATGGAAGGTATATATATAGAAGCAGTAAGAGAGGCGTTAAAGTCTAGAAACGCCTTTAGAGGATGAGTAGTTGAAGAATTTCAAATTTCAAAAGGAGTAATAAATAGGATTGGGAAGTTTGACAGCTTTTAGCCATAAATGGGTAGGATTTCCTTTGAGATACGGGATCATTAAACAAAGGAGATTGTTTACAGAGGAAGCTGAGGGAACAGCCACGTGTTATAAGAATTTTCCTCTAATGATTATCTTGAGTTTTCCAAGAGTCCAAGGCGTGTTTGCAGGGAGTTTAGTTGGAATTTTGAAATTCAAAAAAGGAAAGTAAAGAGATTCTTATAGGGAGTCATGAATAGATCTTTTGGGGGCGCACGATACTTAGGAGGTTGGCGGTTGGAGGTGATTAATATAGTAGGAACCGAGGAGATTAATTGTGTTAAGTATTGAAGGGTTGAATAATCATGGTGATGGAATTATGATGGCGGAACTCAAATCCCACGCCTTATTGTTAAGTTGCTCCATAAGGCATGGAATTTGGGGGGCATATGTTTACTCCATTATTTTGCCCAATGGAAAGATGACAAGTGGCGAGTTTTTTACAAGCTTACCATATTGATTTAGTCTTCTAATTATCCAAGAATAGGAGGGTGTGACATGGAATTGTTAATGTGGCCTATTAATAGAAAAGAGGTACATGGCAAGTTTCAATGGGACTTGCCATGTCAGAGTGTAATATTGATAAATATTCCTTTGGAGTATTAAAACCACAAGGAATTAAAAGAGAGTGGCAAGTCCCATTAGGACTTACTAAACTTAAGATATAATGTCCTAAAAGGATAAGAAGATGACATGGAATTACTACCATGAGTGCAACCTCATGAGAAGGTTAAAGCCAAAGATTCAACCAACCAATAATTTATCAACACATGGCAAACTTTATTAAACTTGCCACGGTAGAATAATTCTGTTAAAGTTGAATTTATTGAAAGATCCTATTCTTATAGGATACCAATTAAATGGATATTTTCCATTTAAAACCGAAGTTGACCAAGTCACA